GTTTTATCCACCAATTACTATGGTGTTTTATCCACTAGATACCCTATGGTGTTTTATGCTCTAGTTACTCTATGGTGGTTTATTCACTACTTACTCTATGGTGTTTTATCCACCAGTTACTCTATGGTGTTTTATCCACTAGTTACTCTATACTGTTTTATCCACTAGTTACTTTATGGTGTTTTATCCACTAGTTACTCTATAGTGTTTTATCCACTAGTTACTCTATACTGTTTTATCCACTAGTTACTCTATGCTGTTTTATCCACCAATTACTATGGTGTTTTATCCACTAGATACCCTATGGTGTTTTATGCTCTAGTTACTCTATGGTGGTTTATTCACTACTTACTCTATGGTGTTTTATCCACCAGTTACTCTATGGTGTTTTATCCACTAGTTACTCTATACTGTTTTATCCACTAGTTAATCTATAATGTTTTATCCACTAGATACTCTATGGTGTTTTATCCACCAATTACTCTATCGTGTTTTATCCACCAATTACTCTATCGTGTTTTATCCACCAGTTACTCTATGGTGTTTTATCCACTAGTTACTCTATGGTGTTTTATCCACTAGTTACTCTATGGTGTTTTATCCACTAGTTACTCTATTGTGTTTTATCCATTAGTTAATCTATGGTGTTTTATCCACCAGTTACTCTATGGTGTTTTATCCACCAAATACTCTATGGTGTTTTATCCACCAAATACTCTATGGTGTTTTATCCACTAGTTACTCTATGGTGTTTTATCCACTAGTTACTCTATATTGTTTTATCCACTAGTTAACTCTATACTGTTTTATCCACTAGTTACTCTATGGTGATTTATCCACCAGTTACTCTATGGTGTTTTATCTACTAGTTACTCTATGGTGTTTTATCCACTACTTACTCTATAGTGTTTTATCCACTAGATACTCTATGGTGTTTTATCCACTAATTACTCTATGGTGTTTTATCCACTAGTTACTCTATACTGTTTTATCCACTAGTTAATCTATGGTGTTTTATCCACTACTTACTCTATAGTGTTTTATCCACTAGATACTCTATGGTGTTTTATCCACTAATTACTCTATGGTGTTTTATCCACTACTTACTCTATAGTGTTTTATCCACTAGATACTCTATGGTGTTTTATCCACTAATTACTCTATGGTGTTTTATCCACTA